CACGGGGATCTGCACACGCTGAGAAATACACACACGTGGCTGCACGGGGATCTGCACACGCTGAGAAATACGCACACGTGACATCAGAGATCTGCAGCGTCCTTTTGTGGGCGGAACAAATGTGTTCCTCAGAACATGGCACACTTATCCTTGTCTGTCTTCTCCTGTCCACATTGTACACAGCCTGGCAAATAATACCAGGTTCACTGGTGACTTCTGACTGTGCTGTATATGATGCAGTGGCATCAGGGGAAGCGTCAGATTGAAAACACACCCCACAAACACACAGACTGCCGTCCCTGTCACCCTGCACGTTCCTCCAGACGGTGTAAGCTGGTGATGGGGCCAAAGAGTAGGGCATTGGCCAAAAGGAATTTGAATTCTTCAAACTGGGTTAAAATCGAAGAGGCTTGAGATGTGGGCACTTCCACGCCTTCATGATTGTTTTTCTCTTTTTTAAATTCAAGGACTCTCATCGCTTTGGGAAGCACCTGAAACAAGCCATGATGGACATCATCAGTCTGTTTGGGTTCAGTTCTAACTCCAAAAAGTAATTCCACAGAGCCGCTCCGGAGGGGAGTGATCTCTTTTCCTAAAAACCAAATGAAAAATAGGTATTAACCCTGAGGGTAGTTCAGGGTGAAAAATTGCTCTTAAAAAAAACTCAAGTTTTCTTTCCAGCAAGGGTTTGGTGTTTTTGTTTTTCTAGAACAGTAGCCTCCACCATGTGAAGTATAACCCTATTGCTTCCGGGTGTGTCTTCATCCACTTCCGGGTCGCTCTGTGACCATCTGGTAAAGTCCTCCTAAAGTCCTGGCACTGGGTTGGGTTCATGAAGGAATCAGAATGTTGCTGAACTCATTGAGGAATTAGTGGGGTTGTGACTTCACATTTATTGGAAATGGCAACAGCACGTCTCCTCAGTGGGGACCAAATACCTGGGACTGAAGGGTATTTAAGTTTATCAGAGCAATGTCACCGTTTGTTTTGTTAAAAGAAAAAGGGTTGTCCAAGTCGGAGATGCTAAGAGTCACAGCTAGCACTCATGTAACACATTAACTAAACATGCTGTGCTTTTGGAAACAGGTGGTTGTCACTGTGGGTAGCTCTGTCATTGTCTAGTCTGGTAGTCTTTGCGTTTGCCTCTCTGTTTTCAGCAAGTAGTGGTCACATCTGTAGCTTTTCTGACCTTGCATGTCCTCAAAACCCAGTGCCTTAATCATGAAGGGCCCTAAATGCTAGGGAGACTGAAGGACTTATTTGTGGAATTGTCAGTGTATCACTCCCTTCTCAGTTTAACTGAGGACAGATAACCCTAAATACACTTTTTCCTGTGGTTGCCCCCTACCCATACAAAGACCCCTTCCCTTATGAGGGCAGCTGTGCTGGATTCCCCTAATTGGAATGCCTTCCTTTCATAACAAAGCAACAAAAGAACTAAGTGGCGTGTGACAGAGCTGGGGAGCAAGGGACAAAATGGCCAAATACTATGTGTCCAGGGAGTTCACCGAAGAAAAAAAATGTAATGTGTGCCTCAGGATTACTTTAGCTTCCCCCAACCAGAGGAGAGCACAAGATTTACCACCCAGAAAGGAGCAGAACCTGAGAAGTGGCCAGGAAGATTACTGAATCCCACCTGGTGAGAGAGAAGACCGCTCTGGGGGCCATGGGAACCATCTGCCACGTCATCTTGGTGACAGATTGCACTGCTGCGAGTCACGGGTGCTAGGTCTCCACACAGTCTGTCCTTTCAATAGGCGTGCCTTCATCGGAGAGAGTCACATTGACCAAAACACAATTATGCACTGAGTCTTCTTCAGTATTTGATGTAAAAATAAAGTATCATGGAATGAAATTCCCACTGCCTCTGGCCGCAGTGACAAGCTTGCCCCGTCCATGTTTTTAATTGTGTATTTATTTTTCTGACCACTTTTGTTCTTGTGGGGCTTGCCTCCTGAAGAGTTCTGCCCTCCAGTTTGACAAACACGAGGGCTGAGCTATCAGAGTGGACGAAGGCGCTTGCTAAAGAGCATGTACGTATTCTATTTGTGTATATTTTGTAATGTAAAAATCCCCCCTAAACGGGCCAAAGATTTTTTTTCTCTCCTAAAAACAAGAAGAAATGAAAACAAAACAATACCAACCACCGTAACAAAACCCCCCCGATCGTTCACGGTGCATAATCAAGGAGGTTTGCAGGGGGGAAGCCCCTCTCCCCAGGGCAAATACAGCTTCCAATCCAACGCCGCAGTTGGCCGGCGTTAACCATCACCATGCACTCTGCACTAAACCACTGACCAATCTGTATTACCGTAGAGTTGGCACACGAATTCAAGTGTACACATGTTAGCAGTCAGATATATCTGGGCTTGTCTCTCAGGTTTAAATGTTTCAAATGTCATTGTAGTTAATCAGTGCAGTTATCAATGCAATTTTATATTCCTTAAAAGAAGGAAGAGTGAGTTTTTATTGTACATGTTGAGCAGGGAAGGGAAGATTATTATGTGTTTAATTTAATTTGGAACAAATCATAGTCCTAACAGAGCTGTGGGTTGCGTTTGTGATCTCGGACTGCCCATTGCCTGTACATACAATATGTTCTTTAGGATGTAAATCTTAGATATGCACAGTGTGAGTAGGTTATCATTAATAAAATTATTAATCTCATTCTGTGACAGTATTTGGTCGTCTATTTATTTATACTAAGGAGGTGATACGAGGCAGTGATATTGTTCAGTGGCAGAATTCTCGCCTTCCGTGCAGGAGAACCATGTTTGATTCCCAGCCGACACACCTCTTGCACAGTCATCACCTGCCCGTCAGTGGAGGCTTACGTGTTGCTGTGATGCTCTCCAGGCATGGACCAGCAACTTGAAGTTTGTCTTCAAAATTAGAGGGTGCCAAGAGACCAGAGAAAGAGGGGGCATCTCCAGGGTGGCAGCAAAGGAGTTTATTAGGGAGACTTACAGACGAGGCGACTCCTGGGCGGCTTCAGGACAAAGCAGATCTCTGTGCCCCACAGTGGGAGGGCAGAGGTTTCATAGTGGTGGTGGACAATAGTGGCTACAAGCCAGGGGTTTACATAAGAATGACTCAGCAAACGGAAGTGAACTAGTGGACTGCATGACAGCACTCGTGTTCAGCCTAGTAAAGTCTGTTTCCCCTTCAATCCACCCTTCGAGGCTGGTTGTTACAATCTGGCACATCTTCCCTCTTGTGCCATAGCCATAGCACGAGAGACCCTGTTCCCTCCCTGCCGGGAACAGATATAGATGTGGGGTTGGTCAGGTTCCGTATAGTGCCCTCGCATGTGCAAGAGACAGAAAGTTACTGTGTGCCCAGAACAGGGGGAGGGAAGGCTTCTCTGATGAGAAGGAACTGGGAGAGACAAAGCGACCCAATTCCCAGCCTCCTTATCAGAGAATGTTCAGGGCCCAAGGCCTTTACTTAGGCATCCTGGATGGGAAGTGTAGAGGCAGACCATTTCCCCAACAGATTCTGAACAGGTGTCAGTGGAGTGTCCTAAGAGGGACGAGGAAGAAAGCCCTGGCAATCTGCTTCTGAAAATCAGGTCCTGTCTGCAACCATGGGGATGGTGCAGGACCAAGCAGTGTTTTGTTTCATTGTGCACGGAGTTACCATGAGTTGGGGCTGACTCAACGGCAGCTCACAACAACAAGGAGGTGATAAGGCAAGTACCACTTGTAACAAGCTCAGGCACTTGGGACAAAGGTGAGAGACCAAGATATGCAAAAAAGAGCCCCAAGCGGGCAGAGTGGATGTCACTAGATTCATGCATTTGATGGAGACAGGAAGCTTCTAAGTTGGCCCCACTGATTTTTCCCTTTACATTTATTTATTCATCCGTTCCCTTGCCCTAATGCCTGAACAGGGCCCTGGTGGCAAAGCAGTTAAAGAGCTCAGCTGCTAACCAAAAGGTCAGCAGTTCAAATCCACCAGTTGCTCCTTGGAAGCACTATGGAGCAGTTCTACTCATGCTCTGTAGGGTTGCTATGAGTTGCAATCAACTTGATGGTGAGAGATTTCGTTTTGTTTTTTTTTGTTTTTTTAGTGCATAGAATAGTGCCTGGCACATAGTGGGTGTTCAGTAGATATCTATTAAATGAAAGCATGAATTTTCGATTTTCTCAACAGTTTTTATTGAGCACCTACTAGGGTCGCTATGAGTCGGAATCGACTCGACGGCAATGGGTAATAATGGGTACTGGGTGCTAGGGAGTCCATGAGTGGTGCAGTTATTGTGCTTAGCTGCTAACCAAAAAGTTGGAGGTTCGAGTCTAGCCAGAGGGACCTCAGAAGAAAGTTCTGGCAATCTACGTCCAAAAAATCAGCCATTGAAAACTATGGAGCAGCACAATTCTACTCTGACACACATGGGATGGCCATGAGTCAGAGTCACCTCGATGAAAACTGTCTTTTTTTACTGCGTGCTAAGCCTTATTTCAAGGAGCCCCAGTGGCACAGTGGTTAAGCGCTCAACCCAAAGATCGGCAGTTTGAACCCATCAGCGGCTCTGCAGGAGAAGGATGCTGCAGTCTGCTTCTGTAAAAGATTTACGGCCTCGGAAACCCTACGGGGCAGTTAAACTCTGTCCTATAAGGTCGCTGTGAGTCCCGAATGGACTCCAGGGCAATGGGTTTGGTTTGGTTTGGTTTGGTTTGGATACATACATCTGCATGTAAATACACAGGAGAGGGGCTAAAAACATCCACCGCAAATTTAGTGATCCCCTCTTTGAAAGGCAGTATGACTGGGGACAGTGCTCAAGGGAGCTTCAGCTTCATCTGCAGTATTTAAATATTTAGTGGGAGAATTTATGTATTACATAATTAGGGAAAAAGCTATCTTCCAACAGTCTTACCTACAGAAGTTGGAACCGGCGCAGACTCATCTCCGCCCTTTCCTGAGTGGCTCAAGTGCAGAAAAGATATTTTTTAAAGACTAAAGTCAGAAGTCCAGTGGGGAGGGTCCACCCAGGCCTGCCTCAGACTTGCCCTGGGGTGGCCTCAGTTTCCCCACCGAGCCTGGAAGGGCTGAGTCCGGAGTGCTCCGCCCTGGCCCTGGCCCCGCCCCTGCCCCATCGGACTCTCACGAGCTCCGCCCCACTATCACCAGCCCCGCCTCATCTCGTCCCACTTCCTGGCCACGCCCCTTCACCAAGCGCCCTGCTCCCCTGCCCCCACCCTGCTCTCTGTTCACCTCGGGGCCCCTCCCCGCCCCCCTGGCCCTGCCCTGCTCTCCTCAAGCCCTGCCCCAGGCCCCGACCCACTTCTCTGGCCCCGCCTTGCTCTCTGCACGCCCTGCCCCTCAGTCCCACCCCACTCTCTGACCACGCCCCCTCGGCACGCGCTCCGCCCTCAGCCCCGCCCACCCAACGCCCCGCCCCTTCCCCAACGGCCAACCGCCGGGCGTGTGAGAGTCGGCTCCACATCCCCGCGGGTCGCTCGCAGTCTCGGCCGTCCAGGTGTGTCCCCTGACGAGGCGCCCCTGCGGTGCCCGAGACCTCAGCCACGCCGGGCCTCCCGCGACCTCCAGGCCCGGCGTTAGAGTCCGCGGAGGGGGAGGTGCCGAGGACCCTGGTCGGCCCGTGGGCGGCGAGACCCTCTAGTCAGCCATCGGGGCGGCGGGACCCCTCCTCCGTCTTCTCAGGGGAGCGGCGGGATCCCCGTCGTCTCAGGGGGCGGCGGGACCCCACCCCGTCGTCTCAGGGGGGCGGCGGGACCCCCCTCTGTCGTCTCAGGGAGGCCGCGGGACCCCACCCCGTCATCTCAGGGGAGCGGGGGGATCCCCGTCATCTCAGGGGCGTGGCGGGAACCCACCCCGTCGTCTCAGGGGGGCGGCGGGACCCCCTCTGTCGTCTC